TAAAAGGAATTAAAAGGAACTTCAAAAATTAAAAAAAAAAATAAACCCTCAAATGATCCAATCTAGCTTGCACGCATGCAAGCATGTGTGCGCGTGTGTGCGCACACACACGCACACACACACACAATCTAGCTGTGATAACCATCCAATCCTATGCCTTCCTCTGGACACTAGATCATCAGGATGCACCAGCTAAGCTCCCAGCCGGCAAAATTTAATTTTAAAAAAAAATTTTTAAGCAGGGGCACCTGGGTGGCTCAGTCGTGTCTGCCTCTGGCTCAGGTCATGATCCCCCAGGGTCCTGGGATCGAGCCCCATGTCCAGCTAGCTCCCTGCTTGGCGGGAAGCCTGCTTCTTCCTCTCCCACTCCCCCCACTTGTGTTCCCTCTCCCACTGTCAAATAAATAAAATCTTAAAAAGAAAAAAATTTTTAAACAATCCCCTTCCACCCAATTTTCATCAAGAGGGCGCCTGGGTGGCTCAGTTGGTTGGGCGACTGCCTTCGGCTCAGGTCATGATCCTGGAGTCCCGGGATCAAGTCCCGCATCGGGCTCCCCGCTCAGCGGGTAGTCTGCTTCTCCCTCTGACCCTCTTCCCTCTCGTGCTCTCTATCTCTCATTCTCTCTCTCTCAAATAAATAAATAAAATCTTAAAAAAAAAGAAAGCCTTAAAAAAACATTTAAATTCATTGATAATAAATCCCGCCCCCCCCGCCCCGACACTTCTCATCACTAGTGCAGCTCCTGGGCCTCACTCCTTATTCCCCAAGTGCTTGGGTCTCATCTGGACTCATTCATTGAAACGGAATCTCTTGGGGGTGTCAGATTTTCAAATCTCCAGGAGATTCCCAAGGACAGCCAAGGGCGAGAACCAGTTAGAGAGAAATATACTGAGGATGCCCTTTAGTGAACGTCGAGAATCGAGGTGGAGAAAGACACGGGGAGCCCCACACAGTGGTCAGGGGGCCGAGGAGGCGCCCTGAGGTGCCACTTCCTCCCTGAGCTCTGACAGAGCTGCTGGAAGAAACAGAGGGTGGCTGGGAGCCTCAGGCCTGCACTGGCCAAGACACCCAGGACCAGTGCATGCCTCTACCCACCACCGCCTGCATCTTCTGAGGACCCAGACACCTTCTTGGCGGCCTGCATTTCGGCCATGCTGACCGTGGCCTTGAAGGGGTGGGGATGCCTGATGCAGTGGTTAATTTCTTAACTCTCATCGCGATTCGGTTCACGGGAGACTCCCGGGACGTCTTTATCCATCACAGATGGTTTGGGAAGATGATAAATTAATATCGTTCAAATAGAGACACGGCTGGAAAGGTCAAATAGCACCGTCTTCTTTGCGGGTCCCAAAGAGAAAAAGCGCCCCCGAGTCCATAAAGAAGACAAATGGTAAACAAAACCGCCTATCTTTTGACAGATTCCAGGACGAGTATCGTTCACCAACCATTCTGCGGAGAAAAGGGAGAGATTCATCTCATTGGACTTTGTATAGGACAACAGCCCGCGCCATAATGAGGCCTTCCCAAGTGCTGGGAAATCGCGCTGAATAGGCGCGGGCTGCAGCCTCCTGCGTCCCTGGGCACGTTTATTACAGCCCTTTGTATGCACCAGCCCGGCCAGCCCCGGGTTGGTTCTAAACCAGGGGAGGGGAGAAAGAACCCAACGAATTTGTTGCTATGAAACTTCCCCAATAACGTTTGGAATCCAATGCCCTTGCTCCAAGCTGTTCTTGTCTGGGTCCAGCCCTGCTCTAAACTGAGCAAGGTCGGGAGCCCAGCCAATCGCCAGCAGGGCCTGGGTGGCCTCAGCCCCCCGCCTGGGGCTCCTCCCCAAGCCCTGGGAAGTCAAGGGTAAAGAGGGCCCCAGTGGCCATTCCCAAGCACCCTCAGGTCAACTGCCAACTTGAGTCAAGAGCCTCTGCCAGTTGTCCCAGTTCCCCAGTGAAATGCCTCTGAAACAGAGCAAAGAAGGACATAACCGAAGGCTACAATTGGGCTCTCCCGAGGTCAGCCCCCGGAGGCCGGGGCCTGGGATGGCTGCATGCCTAGGGGACTGCAGAAGCCTCTGAACGCAACCCACCAGAGATCAAAATGCTGGGGCCAAATGCTTCCAGCAAAGGAGCCGTTTCCTGAAACCGACCCACCCTGGGAAGACAAGGCAGACGGACGGTCTCCGTGGGGGTGGGGTGGGGACAAAGAGACTCCCATCTGAAGACCTCAAGGGTATACAGCCTTCTCTGCTGGCGCCTGACCTCCTACAGCTGGTCTCCCCCCGCCCCCCAAGATCTCAGGGTCTCCATTTGATGGGAAATGTCCCATGAGGAAACAGAGGATTCAGAGTTCCCACTCGCCCCAAAGGGTTGACACCAGAAAAAAGAGAGCAAAGGGGAAAGATATAGAACTTTCTGCACCGAAGAAACAGCAGGACCTTTCAGGTCACGTTCCTCTTGCTCACCAATCAGAGAACAGATTGTTCGGGCAGTGTCTTTCCTCGCCAATCAGGACACAGGACCCGCCAGGTGGTAGGGTCTCTCCTCGCCAATCAGGACGCAGCACCCGCCAGGTAAGGTCTTTCCTCGCCAATCAGGACGCAGGACCCACCAGGTAGGGTCTTTCCTCGCCAATCAGGACGCAGGACCCGCCAGGTAGGGTCTTTCCTCGCCAATCAGGACGCAGGACCCGCCAGGTAGGGTCTTTCCTCACCAATCAGGACGCAGGACCCACCAGGTAGGGTCTTTCCTCGCCAATCAGGTGGCAGGATCCTTGAAGCACTGTCTTTCCCCGCCAGGCAGGAGGTACCGCCGAGGCCCGCCCCCACCTGCCATGTTTCCCTGGCAGGACACACAGGCGTCCTTCCACGCAGAATCTGTCCTCACGTTTCTCTCTTCCTCGGGCCCCTCACTCAGAGTCCCACCAAGGCTGGGGGCAGCTGCTGTCCAAGGCTCCGAGGGACGACCGAGCCACCAAGGGAAGCCACAGCGTTTGAAATAAGGCAGGGGCACACCCTCGTCTGCCTGCGCCTGTCCCGCCTGGAAACCAGCAGAGTGGGAAAGCCCCAGAGGACAACCTGCAGGTTCCTAGGACCCGGTGGCTTCCTGACATCTCAGCCTGAGACAGGAGCGGCCACAGGTGGCTCTTGCGTCATTCTGCATGCAACAGAGGAGAGGGAGGGGAGGCAAATGGCAAGATGATCAAGGATCTGCTCCCTCCTGCCTCCCCAGGGGACGTGCCTTTCCTGCTGTGATGGCGCAGGACCACTGCCCCTCCACGCCCAGCCGAGACTCCCTCAACCACAGACACAGGGCTGCCCACCTGAGTGGCCCCTGCTAATTAAAATTCCCTTGCCAAATCCCCAAGAAAGCTATGTGCAACCCGTTGTTTACAAGTCCTTGGCTTTGATTTCTTCTGTAAAGGGAAGACAAGAGGTGAAGAGGGGCTGGATACCTTCCAAGTACGGTCTCTGAAAACCCAAAGCCCTCTCTCTCTCCCGGGTCATGCTCCTGCTCATGCCTTCCTGCCACCAGAGGCATTTCTGGGTCCCTTGGCTCAGGCCACCTTGAGGTTGGTTGGTCAGTTCCTGCTCCAAGTCTCCTGGGGGAGTCTCACCTTGATTCTCTGGTTTGGGATGTGGAAATAGCTGGGCTACCTTTAGGAGTAAACTTCTCTTGACAACCACCAGAGGCAGCCTTAAGTCCACAGATCTGGGAGGACAGCTCTGTTTGTGTCTGGGGAACCACCGGATTCATCCCTCTTCCTGTGGAACCGAAGGGATTCCTCCCGGAGGAGACAGGCTGGGAACCTGTTTCGTTTTGGAGAAAAGTATTCTCCACCAGCAGGGCCGGCTTCATGGGCCCGATGCTCGGAAGGGCACGCACTTGGTGGAAGCTCTGCTTGCTGCCATTTAAAAATTCTTAGCAATTCCTGAGCAAGAAGGCTGGTGTTTTGATTTTGCGCTGAGGCCCATGAGTCCTGTAGGCGGTGGTACCCACAAGTGCCCGACATCTGGCAGATTTCCTGATAAGAAGATACTCTGGCTTCATCCAAAGGCTAGGCAGTGGCCACCGACCGGTTTCTGGACTGCAGCTCCTCATCCGAGCCTGAGCCTGACAAGGCTTGCGTCTTGCCCGTGTCAGGGTCTACACGGGTCTGTGTCAGGACCCTGATCATGCTGCATGGTGGCCCCAAGAGCCCTCGGAGAGAAATCTCTTCTTGGGAAGCCATGCTTACGGCAAGCCCTGCCTCTAGGCCTCAAGTTTTAGACCCGGACAGCCCCGGTTCCTGGAATTCCCAAAAGCAAATGTGGGGTGGGGGGCCCCCAGGTCTCCCCCCGGCAACAGCATTGAGTTCCCTGGCATTTCAACAGCTCCTCTGAGTCACCTGACTATTGCTTCATTTTTGTGAGGGGGGGGACACAACAGCAGAAAAGTGAAAACATTCGTGCTCACTCCAGCGAACGAAAAGAGTCTCCAGTCTCCCTTTAATTTTTTTTTTGTCCTCAGAAGGAAAGCTATTTGCAGGTGGATTAAATGTTCCTTCTGAGACCCTGCCCCCGGAGCCGCCGACCTCACTGGGACCGTGACCGTGCGTGTCTTTGTGAGTGCCGGGGGTGGGGGGACGGGCCGGGGAGGCGGGGGGTGGCGCGCGCACATCCAGAGAAATACGTCTGCGTGGTCTGGGTAAGAGAGGGCCCTTTGTGCCGCCGGTAAGCCCGGTGAACATGACCCCCGCCCTGTGGTATGCAGCACACCTGTGCAGGCGGAGAGGCAGCCGGCGGGGGGCGGGGGCCCCGCACCCGCGCAGGGATCACACCTTCTCCTTTCTTCTCCTTAAGGCCATGGCTCCATCGCCCCTTTGTTTCGGCTTACGTCCCCACATACCGGGGCGGCCGTGCGTGCGCCGCAGTGCCGGTCAAGGCCGGGGTGCATGGGGACGCAAGGCAAAGCAGGAGGACAGAGGAGGACGGGACGGACCGGGTTCCCGAGGCCCCGCCCCTGCCTACCTTTGCAGGCCTTGCGGTGGGTGACGGGCTTGCCCATGTCGCGGTAGTAGCCCTCCTTGCAGTAATGGCAGTGGCGGCCCGCCGTGTTGTGGCGGCAGTTGAGACAGACGCCCCCGCTCTTGCGCCCCGACAGCTTGTACAGCTCCATGTTGAAGCGGCAGCGCCGGGCATGCAGGTTGCAGTTACAGGCTGCGGGAGGCAGGGAGAGACGTCAGGCCATGTGGCAAGGGAGGGACTGTCCCCAGCTTCCTCCCATGTCCACTGCTGGACCGCAGGAGAGACTGTCCCCAGCTTCCCCCCCCATGTCCACTGCTGGACCGCAGGAGAGACTGTCCCCAGCTTCCCCCCAGGTCCACTGCTGGACCCCAGGAGAGACTTTCCCCAGCTTCCCCCCATGTCCACTGCTGGACCGCAGGAGAGACTGTCCCCAGCTTCCCCCCATGTCCACTGCTGGACCGCAGGAGGGACTGTCCCCAGCTTCCCCCCATGTCCACTGCTGGACCGCAGGAAGGACTGTCCCCAGCTTCCCCCCATGTCCACTGCTGGACCCCAGGAGAGACTTTCCCCAGCTTCCCCCCATGTCCACTGCTGGACCGCAGGAGAGACTGTCCCCAGCTTCCCCCCAGCTCCACTGCTGGACCGCAGGAGGGACTGTCCCCAGCTTCCCCCCAGCTCCACTGCTGGACTGCAGCAGAGACTGTCCCCAGCCTCCCCCAGCACCACAGCTGGACCACAGTCCTTCCCCGGGAGCTTCTCCTTGGCTCCCCTGTTTGCACTCAGAAGCACCTACTAGCCACCCAGCAGCCAAAGGCTCTGCTTCCCTCTCATACAGAGACTGTTCATTTCCATCCACCAAGCTGCCGGCCCCCACCCCCCATCACACACACACACCTTAAAGTTGGGAGGTGGGGCTGGCATCCTCCTTGTGCCCCAATCCTGCTTGCGAGGGACCCAATGGTGTTCCTCCCCCCATTCATATGCAGAGGCCCTAACCCAGCAGCTGTGAACAGGCCTGTGTTTGGGGACATGGCCTTTACAGAGCTGATTACATCAAAATGAGGCTCTGAGGGTGGGCCCTCCTCCAATCTCACTGGAGTCCTTATAAGAAGAGGCAGTTTGCACACACAGGGGCACACAAACACAGAGGAGAGGTGGTCTGCAAGCCAAGCAGAGAGGCCCCGGGAGAAGCCAACCCTGCCGACACCTTGACCTTGGACTTCCAGCTCCAGAACCGTGAGAAAGACACGTGTGTTGGTTAAGCCCCCAGCTTGAGGTTTTCGGTGACAGCGGCCTGAGCAGACTCCTGCATTGTTTCCAGGGCTTTCTACTTTGCGCCAGCACACTGCCCCCTCCCTTGAGCTCGGCCACCAGGCTGTCTTCTCCTGCGGCCACTCCACAAGCCACTGACGGCTCAGGAGCCGGCTGCACCAGCTTCCATCACCTTCCCCTTGGGCATCCTCCTCATCTGGTTTCCCTCCTGCCCAGCCCTGCTTCCCTTCCCACGGCCACGGCCACCAGAGCAGGAGTTCTGGGCTCCAATCTGAGGATGTCCATCACCAGCTGCAAGTCTTTCAATGGCCCTCCCGTTTTTTCCTCTGGGTAAAATCTAAGTCAGCTGTCACACCCTCGGGGCTCCAAATAAGCTGGTCCTGCTTCTCTCCACACACTCTCCTTAGCTCACGACCCCCCACTCCTTGCTCTGATGCTTGAGCGGTCCCCAGGTTTTTTCAGCTTCTAGAACATTCCATGCATACGTGAGGACCCCTCACCTGCCCCCTCCATGGCTTGTCAGATGGTCTCCTCCCCAGACCCCTCCTCATCTGCTTGCACCCTTATCCTCCACGTCTTGGTGGAGGATATCTGTCCCCGACCCATCTTCCTTCCACCCCCCACCCCCACCCGGGGCATCCCGCGCAGCCCCCTCAGACCACCCCATGTTGCCCGTGACTTGCTTCTGTGGGCTCCGACCTCTAGGATAACTCCAGCTTCCATCTGGTCTACTCCTGCTCCCTCTTCAACACGCTTCGCCTGCTTTTGTGCTAAGTTTGTTTCAAATCGCATTTTATGTAATGTCTAAAGAAATGCTTAGTGCCAGACACTTGATAAACAAAAGCAGAAAAGAGAGGAAAAAAACGCACTCAGATTTGCAGCAACCACTGTTAACACAGGGGTCGTCCCTTGCAGACTTTAATTAACGTTTGCTCAGCTGTGGCGCTCCGTCATTCTTTCCTACGGACGTGGATCATACTCGTGCATCTCCCTCCGTGGCCTATTTTCCCAGGATGATGAACATCTTTTAATGCCAGATACTGTTCTGCATGATTGTGAAAGGCTGTCTAGTCTCCCTTGTACATGTGTGTGCACTGGGCTCTTTGGAATCCCCAGTGGGTGCATTTCAAAGCCGGGCCTCCCCGGGGGCTGGGCAGTTAAGTTGTTTTGGGTTTGTCACTATTACAAACAACACCAACGGTAACCACCTTTGGACCTGTGCATTTGTGCTCTGCTCTGATGGCATGCCTAGGGTAACTTCTGGATCCGCATATGTTTAACTCAGGATCCAAACTGCCGAATTGCCCTGGAGAAAGGCGGTCCTAGCTTCTAGTCCCTCCCAGCAGAATCTGAGAGCTACTGTCTCACCACATCCTTGAAGAAAACAACAGGACCCATTTGCTGTCAGTACTCTTTATTTTTCATCTCTGCCAATTCCTCTGGAAAACACACACACACATGATTTTAATTTGTGTGTCTTTGGTTACCATGAGGTTGGACATTTCCCCATGTGTTCATTTTTCTTTATATATTTTTTTCTTTTGCGCATTGCCTGTTCATGCCATTTGCCCACTTTTCAAATAAGGTGGGGTTTTTTTTCTTACAACGTCTAATGCTGTTATAATTGATGGATTAAAAACTATGTGTCAACCACACAGGCTGCACAAATTTGTACCAGCTTCGTGTTAATTTTTACTTTTGTGATTAAAAATTATACATTTGCCTCTTTAACTTTTCTCTCTGACGTTACAAGTTTCTTTAGATGTTCTTGCTAGAGGCACGTCCATTAGTCATTCAGCTGAGAGGTAGAGAAGGATGGGGCTTAAGGGCAGGCACTGTGGGGGCCACAGGAGGAAAGGTTCAGTTCACACCTGAGTCTGGAAACAACTGGAAGGTAAATTAGGCCACAGAATGATTCCTGAGAGCCTCACCAAGGGTCTCTGTGCACCTCCAGCCTCTGGCTCAGCCTCGCCTGTCCACTAGCACAAGGGACTGTCACACAAACATACACACGTCCACTGTCCCTTTGGACTCACTCAGCCAAACAAGGATGCTGCGGGCCGCTCAGTGTTAAGTGACCCACCAGCCCAGGACCCCCAAGGCAGTAAATGGGGGCCCAAGACTAGAACCCAGGTCTTCTGGCTCCTGGCCCACTACCCTAGAGGAAAGGACCCACATCCCTGGAAGGAACAGTGTTGACTACAGCACAGAATCTGGACCTTTCCTACTGGCATAGAAGTCACAGGGCCTGGCACACCTGCCTAGGGACAGGGATCTGGGAAGATCACTCAACTCTGGCTTCCTTAAGGCTCTCTTGTACCAGGAAAAGCCTCACTAGTAGCATCTTCTGGTCTTTCTTGGAGGCAGATGCTCACCCTGTGTCCTCCACTGTAAAGACAGTGCCAGGTGTCCCCCAAGCTCCCAATGGGGCTGCCTGACCTCTGAGCCCCTCCAGGGAGCTCAGCGCCCCCCTTCCCCACCCCAAGGGGAACCCCTGGGTGAGATCTCTCTTCCATATGCACCTTACACCAACAAAAGTTCTTCCCAAACAACCGGTCACACAAAGGAAAGCTCAGAGGCCAAACTTCAAAAGGCAGGGCTCCCCTCCCTCCCACCTCCTCTTGGAGCTGTCAGGGGACATCAAGTGGCAATTGCCCATGCTCAGGCTTCTGCAAAGTATTTTACGGCTTGTTTTCTTTTCTCTGTGTTTTATTTTCTCTGCACAAATGGAAAAATGCATCAGGCAAAGCAGCCCCCATCTGGGTCCTCGGCTCCACACAGAGATGTCACCCCACTCCCAGCTGGGCCCCAGCCCCTTCCTCAAAAAGACACCTTAATCCCTCATGCCTTCCTGTTTATCTCCTGCCTCTCTTGGAGGCAAAAATATTGGGTATTAGTTTCATTATCAGATTTCAAGGAGGGAAGGAAAGGATAGCTTTGTGAGAACAGAGAGGTCAGCCTGGGGGAGAAGGGGGCAGGGGGCAGCACAACTTCTGAGGAACCTCCATGAGCCAGGGCCAGGAGCCCTGCAGGCTCTGCATCCTGTCCAGGGGTCCCCCAGCCACCCAGAGAGAGCTGGTTTGGTCTGGACCCCAAGCTCCATGCCCTCCTTCCCCCACCGCCCCAGCTGGTTCAATTCAACACACACCTGAGTGCTCCAGCTACATGCCAGGCCCTATGCCACAGGCCATGAGGGAGACAGGGATGGACGATGCATCCTCAACTGTCCAGGGGCTCCCTGTCTGACAGAAGGAGGGGGCAGATGAGGGCTCTCGGCAGCAAGCTTTCAGATAAAGTAGGATAAATGCTCTCCTGAGTTGTGCCGGTTCCTTGACTACAGGACAGTGTTTGCCCTTACATCCTCCAACCCAAAGCACATCTGAATACATTTTCATTGTACAAATAAGAAAGACCAAAAGTAGGAAAGTCAGAAAGTAGATGATGGATGGCTGAGTGGGTGGGTGAATGGATGAACAGGTGGGTGGATGGATGGATGGATGGATGGATGGATGGATGGATGGGTGGATGGGTGGCTGGCTGGCTGGATGAGTGGGTATGTGAGTGGTTGGATGGATGGACAGATGGATGGATATATGGATGGATGGATGGATGGATGGATGGATGGATGGATGGATGGATGGATGGATGGATGAGTGGGTATGTGAGTGGTTGGATGGATGGATGGATGGATGGATGGATGGATGGATGGATGGATGGATGGATGGATGGATGGATGGATGGATGGGTGGATGGATGGATGGATGGATGGATGGATGGGTGGATGGGTGGATGGGTGGAAGGATGGATGGATGGATGGATGGATGGATGGATGGATGGATGGATGAGTGGGTGTGTGAGTGGGTGGATGGATGGATGGATGGATATGTGGATAGATGGATAAATGGATGGATGGATGGGTG